CCTCCGGCGGTGGTGGCCGGTTGTCCGTATTTGAGGGTAGATTGGGGGTATTTTTGTTAATTTTTAATATTTTATTATAAGGGGTGTTTTGTAAAAAAACAAATATAGGGGGTATTTTATCAATTTGTAAATCCTATATCGTAATACCCGCCCAATTCAACTTTTTTTTTTAACTTTTTTCAAAAAACTTTTCCCAAAAACACAAAATTGTGAACCAAACGGAGCCTATATGTATAAAATCTTTGAGTGATGAAACGCCACGCGTAGCAAACCCAATAGAAACGGTTTCACCAAAAGGTGACCGAATCGAGATTCCAGATTATGAATCTCTACCCGTCTTTGTCTTTGGTTGACGTTGCATGAGTGTTTGTTGAAACATATATACTTGTGTTATGATCAAATTTCACATTTTATGTTAAATTTCATGTTACAGCTAATTAATCGTATTATGTTTAAATTTACTATTATTTTAGAATAATTTTCTCAATTACACTAGGACAAGATCTACTGCAGGGACATTTTCATCTCAGATAATACTTATCATTTGTTAACGGTTGTCTTACTCCACAAATATCTCCTAATTGACGGAGAAATTGTTGGTGCATGCCCCAATTAGAGAGTTAATCAATACTATTAAATAAAAATTTCCAGTTGGAATTGGTTTGTAAAATGGTTTCTAGCAGAAAATTTCCAAGCTTTCACATTTTATGTTCAATTTCATATTACAGCTAATTAATCGTATTATGCTTAAATTTACTATTATTGTAGAAAAATTTACTCGATTATTAAGAAGGGCTGTCTTACTCCAATATCTGTGTTATTGATAGAGAAACTGTTGGCGCATGCCCCAATTAGATAGTTTATGAATACCATTAAATATAAAAGTAAGTTTGGTGATTAGTCACTATATAAAACATTTTTCTAACATATATCCTTGCCGATCATAAGCAACAGGATCAAATTTTGTCAATTTGCATCCTTAAAATATCTTTCAGTTTGCACTATTTAAGTATATCCGTTCAAATTTTGAGCTGGAATTGATTTGTAAATTGGTTTCTAGCAGCATATTTCCAAGCTTTTATTCACCATATTCTGACAATTATAATCGTTTTGACACTAATCCTTACAACATTTTTTATAGGCTGATGGAGTCCACACGTTTTGTCTTCCTAACAAGGAATCAAAACTCATGAAAATGAATTATTTTCAAAGATTCTTCTACCATCCGAAAAATACTTAATTAGATTTTTTATTTTATACCATTTTTTTTTTCAAATCATACTTAATTAGGTTTTATACCTTTTTTTTCCTTCAATTTCCTAATTTCAGCTTATTTTCTCTTTTTCAGATTAAGATTCAAATTCATTCCTTTATGTTTTCTATAGTTTTAGTTTTATATTTTCATTAAACAAACAAATACTTAAAATAAAATGAAAGATTTTAATGATTATGAAAATTTAGGATCAGGGTTAATCTAAGATTTAATGTTAAAGTTAATATATATATAAGTATGAATGTGTTAAGTAATATACTCAAAAATTAGTCAATATCCTTATTAATTTTTTAGGATACGTTCAATAAGTGTAGAACCAGGATTTGCACTCGGCTGAGTTGTACATTTGTCGAATTTAGAAGGTTGGGTTTTTACTCTGTATGCTTATCCCTTTGGAATTCTTTTGGTCCTTGTCTTTAACCTAAATTCCAAATTTTACCCTCCCTCTCTCTAGCTCTTTAAATTTAACCACTCCAATTTCTAATTTATTAATTAATTAAATTATAATAAATATTTTTATACAAGAAGTTGATAGGAAATTTTGTTAATTTTTAAAATATTGAAAGAAGAATAATTCAATACATGATTGTTAGTATCCTACGATACTCGATACATATTATATGATACGATTCGATACAGATCGCCAACGATACGTATCAGAGAGTGTATTCTAAACCTTTCGATACGTTGATATGTATCTAACGATACGATATGTATCTGTTTGTATCCTTAAAAATATCGATATAAATCGATACGACTTTATTAATTTGGGTCAAAGACCTAAAAAAATTTAGGGTCGAAATCGGGTCACCCAACCCGGTTCACTAAAACCTATCAAAATTTATCCATTTTGCATGGAGAAAGTGAAGAGAAACATGTGTTGCCCATTTTGCATGATAATAATAATATAAGTGTAGATATAGATATTGACATTGATTTTAGAAATAATATGAATGGTTGAGAGAAAATAATATAGATTCTTAATTTTGTGATTAATTTTAATTATGTAATACTATCATTTAAAGCCAATAATACCACAAAATTCTTTAACTAATCTTGAGGATGATATTAATTTTTAGAAAATTTTGATTATTTTATTAATTTTAAAAAAGAAAATGTACATCCTATAATATGATACGATACTCGATACATGATTCAAAAAATTAGGTTCTCGATACACGATATGATATGTAATTTGACAACCATGATTCAATATACTTGACCAAGACTTGTAAATTAGGATCTACTTCCATCGAGGACATCGTCACTCACACCTAATTAATTTTGGCTTTTGTTAAAATTTTCAAGAGATATTTTATCCACTAATCTTCTAAAAAGTAATCTTTTGACCACCGATATTTGCTCCTTCCGTATGAAGAACCAGCTAATTAATCTGAATTAATAAAATATTATAGGCTAAGCAGAGGCATGTGACACCCATTATATAATATAATTAAATTTTAATTTTAACAACTCTTCAAAATTTTAATTTGACAATTAATATAGAAAATAAATTGCAATTTTTATTTTTGTGAATAAGAAATTTTGATGAGTTTCTATATTTTCTATTTTGGAGCTAGACCAAAGAAACTTAATTTCACCAATAATATTAGCCAGTGATCCAGCAAAACTTATCTATGGTTAATTAAATTAATCGCATGCTACATCGAGATTGATTCCTCGTTTAACACTTTAAAACTTAAATAAGGTTGAACGGCATCCTCCTACCCAAAGTTCACCTTGAAGGCATTTTATACTCAAAAAGTTTGAAAACGACAATTACTTATTAACCATTTTTTATGTCCGTTAATTTGGTAAATTCAAGAATAATAAAGGATAATTATGTCATTTCATCCCAATATATAAAATCCTAACTCCTCCTTTTTCTTCTTCGTCTTGGCGGCGCACTTTAGTAAGCGCTGGCACTCCATTTTTCTCACAAAAGGAAATCTCCTGTGTTTTAGCCTTTTGGGGCCATTTTTCCACCCAAAACCAAAACCAACTCCATCCACCCTCCTGGCCCTACCTCACTGAAACCCACCTAATTCTCACACCAGTGCACCCATTAACCGCAAAAATTCAGCCACCGTTCTTCCTCGCGACTACCCATATTTGAGGCCGGATTCCGGTCGACATTCAGACCGGAAATCCACCATTCCACCACCATTCGAATCCCCATCAACCCCTCTTCAAAACTCAACCTTCCATCTGCCACCCCCACTTGCCGTTTACCGTCCACGACACACTCTTTGGCTGCCCTCCAACTGTTTGTGGAAAGTCCCCAACCAAACCAGAAAGCTGCACTATTTTGTTGATGATCTTGGGCTCATTTGGAGTTTGTTGTAGGAATTCTTGTTGTAGAAGTGTTGTTCCTTGTGTCTTGACTTTTTCCCGGTCGCCGGCGCTTCTCAACTTTGCCACCTTCGACGTTTGTCAGCATGCATGCAAACTGCTAGACAAAAGACAGCGCCTCCTCCTTCAGCACACCATTTTGGCTATTTTCGAAAAATTACCATCTTGTCCTTCTTTAAACGGATTTTACTAACGGTTCTTAACGGTTGGGTGGCAAATTGTCTAACGGATCTTAAGATTAGTGGTTAATTGTCGTTTTCAAACTTTCGGGTATGAAATTGTGTCAAGGCAAACTTTGGGTCGGAAGATGTCGTTCCACCTTCAGATAATTACATTTGAGACCAGTGTTCCCATGATATCATGTTAAACGGAAACATTAGAACGTGGAATTACTTAATATTATCCAAATTAGTCAACCGAACTTTTGCCTTAATTAGTTAACAGATTAAAACTTGGAGTGAAGGCCTCGACCCCACTTTGGTATCATCAGATACTAAAGCCTCCTGAGGTTTATGAAATAACAAAAAGTCCCCCATAGTTAATGAATTGTTAGTATTTCATTATAATTTTCACTGTCAGGTGTTCATAAATTTTATCAAATTGCTTTCAAGCTATTTATTTTAATATCTAAAACTTAATGATAAAGGGTTGTCTGCTATTTCTAAAAACTCAGGAAGATTTTTGTTATTAATCTCATTGACCCTAAAAGTAAAACTTATTGCTTCATGTTTTACAACTAATATTATATGGATATGGTAGATAAAATGAGTATTTAAATACTATCCAAACTGCTCCATAATTATAAAATATTCATCATAAAAATTACTAGTTTGTTTTAAATAAATATTTTCCTCTAATTAATATTTTTATTAGTGAGGAAGAAATTTTGATGAGCTCCTTTCCTTTTTTTTCCCCATCGTTTGAACAATTTTTTTCTTTACATATATTTGAGTTTTCAGCCTCATTAAATAAACAATTATGTGTTATTTTAGAATGTCAAATTTTGAATGTTAATAATATTCAAGAATTTTAAAGGTCATTTTTTTCTTTTTCAAGAATAGTAGATATCATAATACCTAGAGACTTGCCATACCATTGTTTCTATTTAATTCATTCATCTATAAGATATTTAAAAAAAAATTATTTAAACTTAATTTTGAAATAAAAATAAAAATTATAAAACCATCATATATGATATATTCCTTTATTTGATTAAAAATAGTAAAATATTGTAGCTACTTAGGCCTGTGACGCTGTGACTACTTATATCTTGAGTCCAAACTTCAGCATTAATTCTTCCACAAAAACTTATTCTTGCCTGCTTTGCTTTTCTTTCATACTCAGCTATCGTTATTTTCTTGTGATAACCAAAGCCATGGCCGAAATTTTGCTCTCTGCAACCCTTCCTGTGTTGTTTGAAAAGCTTGCGTCCTCTGACTTGTACAACTTCGCATTTGACGAAGGGGTACGTTCAAAGCTGAAAAAGTGGGAAAGGAAATTGGAGAAGATTGAGGCTGTGCTCACCTCTGCGGAAGAGAAGCAACTCACCAACAGAGCTGTGAAACTGTGGCTGGAAGATCTTCAACAACTGGCTTATGATGTGGAGGACATTCTGGAAGAGTTTGCCTATGAAGCTTCACGGCACAGTTCTGCCCCTTCTTGTTTCAAGAATTTCACTCCGCATGCCATTAAGTTCGATGTTAGCATGCGATCCAGGATCGAAGATATCAGTAGCCGGTTCGAAGAGCTGTGTAAAGAAAGAGCTGAACTTGGATTAATGCACGAGACTTCTGGGGGGACACCAATCACTTCTTCACAGCAAAGAATTGCTAGTTCAAGCGTGCCCACAGAACCAGCTGTTTGCGGGAGAGATGCAGATAAAAGAAAAATACTTGAAATGGTGTTAAGTGATGAAGCAAGTAATGACAACCTTTTTGTGATAGGCATTCTTGGCATGGGAGGTATTGGAAAAACAACTCTTGCTCGTGAGGTGTATAATGACAAAGCGTTGGACAACAAATTCATGACAAAGACTTGGGTTTCTGTGTCTGACGATTTTGATGTTCTGAGAGTATCAAAAACAATTCTCAGTTCAATTAATGAATTAGATGAAATGCCAGGTCAATCAAAAAAATCAGATAAGGCGAAGGTTCAATCAGGAAACGAAGGAGTTGATGATCAATCAAAGAAAAAAGAAGTTGAAGGTGGGTTAGATAAAGTGCTGGTTCAATTAAAAAATGCAATCAAAGGAAAAAGGGTCTTAGTGCTGTTAGATGATGTTTGGAACGAGAACTATAACCTGTAGGAAGCCTTGAAATCTCCATTATGTGATGCTGCATTTGGAAGTAAAATAATTGTGACTACGCGAAATAAAGAAGTTGTCACATCAAGCACGCGATCCTTCCAAATTTATAAATTACAACAATTACCCGATGACGATTGTTTGAAATTGTTTAAGAGCATTGCATTTGGAGATAGAGATCCTAATGCTTATGGAAATATTTGTGATAAAGTTGTTGAAAAGTGTAAAGGCCTACCCTTGGCAGTAAAGACTCTAGCTGGTGTTCTACGCTCTAAACAGATTGATTTGTGGGAAAACATATTAACCAGCAGGATGTGGGATTCACCTGATGCAGGTGGCATTCTTCCGGTGTTAAGGTTAAGTTACTTCCACCTTCCTCCACATCTAAAAAGGTGTTTTGCTTACTGTGCAATTTTCCCTAAAGATTATGAATTCGATAAGAAGGAACTTGGCCTTTTGTGGATGGCAGAAGGTATTATTCAACAATCAAATGAGCAACTGGATGTTGCAGGTCAGTACTTTCATGATTTATGTTCAAGGTCATTTTTTGAACATTCAAGTAGCGATAGCTCTAAATATATAATGCATGACCTTGTTCATGATCTAGCTCAATCAATTTTTGGAGAACTCGGTTTTAGATTTGAGGGAGCCAATACTAAACTACCAAAAAAATTTGAAAGTGCTCGTCATTTTTCTTATATTTCTAATCAGTTTAATAAAAAAGATGAATTTAAGGACTTGCAAAGGCTTAAAAGTTTAAGAAAATTCTTGCCGATATTCACGGGGCCTCATGATATGTATGGAAGTAATTATAGTGATCATTATATAGCTGTTACAGTTCTTTTTGATTTGCTGCCAAAGATGAAAAAGTTGAGGGTACTATCTTTGAAAAGATACTACATCACCCATTTACCTGATTCAATTGGAGATTTCATACATCTAAGATATCTTAACTTTTCTCATACTAAGATCAAAAGTTTGCCCGAGTCAACAAGCCAATTATTTAACTTGCAAACTTTGTTATTAAAAGATTGTTCTCTTCTCGTGAAGTTACCTTCCAACATGAGATTTTTGATCAATCTATATCATCTTGATACAAGTGGTCAAAATTCATTGGAAGAGATGCCGTCAAGAATGAGAGAGTTGAAAAATCTCCTAATGTTGTCTAACTTTATTGTGGGGAAGGAATCGGGCTCAAATTTGGAAGATTTGAAGAGCTTATGTTTTCTTCAAGGAGAGCTTCACATTTCCAAATTAGAGAATGTGAATAATGTCAGGCAAATAGGTGGGCTCATATTAAGCAATAAAAAAGACTTAAAAGTGTTGTCATTAGAGTGGGGATCCAAATTTGATGGCTCACGAGTAGAAAGAGAAGAAAATGATGTGCTTGAAATATTGAAACCTCATAGCAATCTAGAAAAACTAGAAATTAGATTCTATGGTGGTTTAGAATTTCCATCTTGGTTAAGCACTTCATCATTGCTCTCTAAATTGACGGTCCTTAAATTAAAAAATTGTAAAAATTGCACAAGCTTGCCTTCAGAAAATCTATTGAGCTCACTTAAAGAGTTAGTCATCGAAGGGATGCCAAAACTAGAAAAAATAAATATGCGAATTCCTTGCAATTCATTAGAGGTTCTTCATTTTATGAATTTGCAAACATGTCAGTATTGGGACACCAAAGGGGAAAATGAGAATGTTGAAAATTTCCCAGAACTTCGTGAGCTTTCCATTACTGAATGTCCTAAACTTATCATAGAAATGCTTGATCATCTTCCCTCATTGGAAAAACTTCATATTGAAAAGTGTGCAAAGTGGACCGTTTCATTCTCAAGTTTTCCAAAGCTCGCCTATTTAACAATTGATGAGTGCGAGGAAGTGGTGTGTACTGGTAGTTCTACGGAGTTCATGTCACCTGAGTCTGAATCTCTTCCAAACATTGTAGGATCTGAAAATTGGTTGAGTCAAGGTTTCAGTTGTGTTGAGAAGCCACTAAAATGGAGTCATAGCCTCACCTCTCTTAAAAGCTTATCTATAGCAAATTGTGGTATCTCATTTCTAAACACCATTTTTCTTCCCAATTTGAGTGATCTTCACATTAGAAATTGCGAGGCTCTGAAATCTTTGCCGAAAAGATTGAAGCAAAACAACATAGAAAGTCTGACAATTGATTATTGTGATTCTCTATTATTCATTGCAAGAAACACACTGCCTTCCTCTCTAAAAAGCCTTAGTATATGGAGTTGTAAGAAATTAAAACATTTGGAGGGTATCAGTTCTATTCTTCTCAAGGAGTTGGATATTTACAATTGCGAGTCTCTATTATTCATTGCAAGAAACACACTACCTTCCTCTCTAAAAAGCCTTGAGATAAGGAGTTGTAAGAAATTACAACATTTGGAGGGTATCAGTTCTACTCTTCTCGAGTACTTGTTTATTTCCAATTGCGAGTCTCTCACGTGCCTATCATCACGAGCATTGTTGCCTAAGACACTCAAAAGTCTTTATATTAATACGTGTCAAAATCTCACAACATTATTATCAACAAGGTGGTGCGTACATGAATCACTTGAGACCCTCCATATTGTGAATTGTCCAAATCTAAAGTCACTAGAAGGGGCATTTAACAATAACCCCCGTCTTCAAGATGTACGTTTAGTGGGTCTTCAAAATCTTGAATCCAATACATTGTTCGGCCTACAGAATCTCACCTCTCTTAAAGATCTTGAAATTAAGGGATTTGAAGATTCAGAGCTTATTCTATCGGAGGACCAACGAATGCCCACTTCTCTTGAATCTTTGAAGATCTCTAATTTCGCACCGTTCAGATCTGTTTCAGATTTGGGCACATTGACCTCTCTTACAGACTTGAAAATTGAGGATTCCCCAAATCTCAAGTCAATTCCAGACCTCGGAAGCCTCGTATCACTTAAAAGCTTTTGGATAGAGAGTTGCCCAAAGATCAAATTAATTCCAGATCTGGGAAGCCACACCTCCATTGAAGAATTCATAATTTGGAGTTGCCCAAATCTCAAATCAATTGCATGCCTGGGAAGCCTCACTTCTCTTCAAACCTTGGATATCGAGTGTTGCCCAAAGCTCAAATCCTTGCCAAGCCCGCCACCTTCAGTTCTGAAATTAAGGATCTCGACATGTCCATCACTAAAAAAACAGTGGAGAAGAGGTAAAGGGAAGTATTGCTCAATGTTAGCTCACATCCCTAATGTTCAAATAGATGGAACATTCATCTTCAATTCAAAGGCGGAAGAAAGAGAATGGAGCTGGCATTATTGAATAGAAAGCACGCAGTCAGATGTCAAGGTTTGTGATTTACTGACACCTCCACTGTTAGCAGAATTTTGTATATTAACATAGTATTGTTTTTATCCTCTGCCTTAGTTTCAAGTATTAATAAGTTTCTCATATTTTAATTTGCCCAGATAATCGTCAAGGAGACAATTACAGTGGTACTTTGTACAGGTAATTTATGCAACTTGTGTTGATTAGATTAACCTCTTGAATTTGATACCTTGAATATCTTATCCTTGCTTTACATATAGAGTCTATCAAATTTTGTGCTCAAACAAGGATTGGCGGTTCTAATCGTGGCATCTTTTAACTAAATAAAGTGAACTTAAATGCTTATACATATGTATATTTTATTCATTATTGTTTGATTCTTTTCGTTTTGAAAAGGCAGATTTTATTTTTCCCTAAAGTTGAAATGGATTTCAAATTCATCTTCAACTCAAAGGAGAAGAAAGAAGCGATTCAGAGAGGAAGAACTGAGCTTAATTAATGAATTCAAAGCATCAGTCAGATAATCAAGTTTGTGATTTACTTATAGCTCCGTATTACTAATTTTTTATATTAACATGATTGTTTTATCCTCTGCCTTAATTTCAAGTATTAATAAGTTGCTCCTATTTTAATTTGCCAGATAATCTCACAGAACAATCACAGTGTACTTGTAAGTGGCAAAACTTGAACTATTTTGGCTTCTCAAATTGAAGAAATCAATCAGAGAACTGTCATTCCAATCTAGGTATGCTAATTTTCAACTAAAGTGTTTTAGATTATTATCATCCATAGTTTTGTTATTCTACAATTTTGATGGCAATATGAAATTTTGTGATAGGACCCTCATCAATACATTATCAATGCCATTTTCAATAATTGATGCATATATCGCTAAAGTTCCTTTATATTATATGGTTGCTAGATATAATTTCATTTAGATGATCACTTGTTTTGATTGAGGGCGAATGAGAGTAGACTACGATTGGGAAGACTAAATTTCCTTCTCCAATTTCATGTAAGCATATTGACACTTTTATATCTAAACTTTTAACAAATGATGATTTGAAATATTTCTGTTTCGCACGTCTAACCACACATTCTGTATACCCAACCAAAGGGACCTTTCTACATAGCTATATTTTAGTTTTAAAATATAGATTTTAATTATTACATGAAAAGTTGGTAATGTCACTACATTCCTTTACTTTTTCAACAAACAAATTGTAAATTAAGCTTAAAGATTAATTATTGGAAACAAATTAGATAAATAATGAAAAATAAATAAACTTATTCACTTGCAACAAATTAGATAAATAATAATAATAAAATATACATTTGTTGATTTATTGTAATTATGCCAAAAAGAATTATATAAAAATAAATGAGATAAAAATAAACAAATATTGATTTAATTATTTTTAATCAATTTAATTATAATGATAACTAAAAGTAATTACTTTTAAATCTATTATGATAACAAGACTTAAAATGTATTTATATAATAAGTATGAATGTGGGTTGGAGTGGGTAAACGCATAACTCAAACATATCCTACCCAATCCATCTCAATATTGAGTTCAAGAAATGGGGTGAGGTGGGTTAGATTGGGATCAAATTATGTTTGGGTTGAGGTGGACTATTCCATAATCCATAAATTTCCATCACGGGAGAACGACTTACACATACCCAAGGTTTGTCAAAACGACAATTGATACCTAAAAGGTTTTGAAACGACAAATAGGTACCTTCCTTCATGTTCTGTTAGTGATTTTCGTTTGATAATAGTGAAAAGACTAAAATACCCTTGAAAGTTTAATATTTTAGTTTTTTATAAATTAAAAATTTCTAAAAAACCCCCTAGGCTTGCTAATTTGACTAAATACCCCAATATATAAAAATTTTATAAAATAACAAAAACACCCCCGCCACCCGCAGTGCCAGATTCCGGCCACCACTGTCGGAATCTGGCCGAAAAATTGTGTTATGACACAGATCCATCAGATCTGTGTCGTAACATGTCGATCTGACCTTTTCCAGCCAGATCTACGTCCGGCCTTTTTCGGCCTCGACGGCCAGATCTGGCTTATCTGGCAGGAAAATGCCAGATCGACGTGTTACGACACAGATCCGACGGGTCTGTGTCGTAACACAATTTTCTGGGAAGATTCCGGCCTCGACGGCTAGATCTGGCTGTAGATCTGGCCTTTTCCGGCCAGATCAGCCATGGATCTTACCGGAAAATGCTAGATCTACGCGTTACGACACAGATCCGATGGGTCTGTGACGTAGCACAATTTTTCGGCCAGATTCCGACGGTAGTGGCCGGAATCTGGCACTGCAGGTGGTGGGAGTGTTTTTGTTATTTTATAAAAATTTTATATATTGGGGTATTTAGTCAAATTAGCAAACCTACGGGGTTTTTTAGAAATTTTTAAATTTATAAAAAACTAAAATTTTAAACTTTCAAGGGTATTTTAGTCTTTTCACTATTATCAAACGAAAATCACTAACAGAACATGACTGAAGGTACCTATTTGTCGTTTCAAAACCTTTTGGGTATCAACTTGTCGTTTCAGCAAACCTTGGGTATGCGTAAGTCGTTCGGCCTTTCCATCACTGGTACTAAAACCTTCTATAAACCATAGGAAAATTGAGTATTTGGGATTCACCAAATCTTGAGTCAATTCTAGACCTAGGAAGCCTTGTATCACTTAAAAGCTTCTCGATAGAGCGTTGCCCACAGATCAAATCAATTCCAGATTTGGGAAGCCACAACTCCCTTGAAAAGTTCAGGATTTGGGAATGCCCAAATCTCAAATCAATTGCATGCAGGGGCGGATTTAATGAATGACGAGTGGGGACCACGGCCCCCACTCAGTTTTTTAAAAATTTCAGATTTTCTATTTCTCTTTATATTTATTTAAATTTTATCCTTATAAATCTTTGAGATTTTGAGAACGGAATAGCCAACCCTCACGGTAAGTTTGGATTTTGTTTCTGTAAAACCCCGTTTTTAATTCTAATATATTTATTACATATTCTTTGTTATTTTTATTTTTATGCAAGGGGATCTATTAGTTTTTAAAAATTTTATTGGGAGTGAAAATGAAAGGAATAAGAGTTGTTAGGTTTGAACGTAATTGTTTAAATCCTGAACAAAGAGGTGAAGCATATAATCTATTTAGGGGTGAAAATCAAGTCGAGCCACTCGCAAGCCACTCAAACTATACTTGATGTTGGCTTGAACTTGACTCCGCATTAGTCGAGTCGAGTTCGAGTAGTTAATCAAGTAAAACTCGACTCAATATATTTGCGAGTATCTCCAAGCTCGATGGTTAAGTTGACAGTTTTTAAAGTAATAGGGGTCATACGTAATTTAAAAGTTATAAAATTTGCAAATCCACCCCTGTTAGATGAGCTTGAAATCAAATTCGAACTTGAACTTGATTAAAACTTGAATAAAACTCGACTAAAAACTTGAAAAAAGCTTGATTATACGAACTTGAATTTGAACTCGATTTCCAATTTCAAGTACTGAGTTCGAATTTGAACTTGATTTCTCAGGTTCGATCAGGCTTAAACTCGAACTCGAACTCGGTACTATAGAGATCGAGTTGAGTTCAATTTACCAAATACTCGACTTGATTCGATTTCACCCCTAAATCTATTAGATGTAATCTATTCCTTTGATTTTGCATTTAGTTTGCATATGATGAAAAGTATATTGGCAATTACTAATGAGTTGTCACAAGCATTGAAGAGAAAAGATCAAGACATTATAAATGCTATGGCCCTAGTCAAAGTCTCCAAAACAATGGTTACAATTGTTGAGAGATGAAGGATGAAAATCTTTATTGAGTGAAATTTCTTTATTTTGCCAAAAACATGATATTGCCATTTTGAATATGGATGATATGTTTGCAATTCGAAGGCGGCCACGACGAAGAGTTGAGCACATGAAAAATTTGAATCACTATCGAGTTGAATTGTTTTATATAGTGATAGATATGCAACTTTAAGAACTTAACACTCATTTCACTAAGGTTAGTACTGAGCTGCTTTTTTGTATGACATGTTTAGATCCAAGTATTTTATTCTCTGCTTTTGACAAGCATAAGTTGATCCGTTTTGCCCAATTTTATCCAACAGATTTTTCTGCACTGAGTTGATGGTACTTGAGAACCATGTTAGGACTTATGTTATTGACAAGTGTTCTTATAATGAATTTTGCTGAGTTAGAAGGAATTGGTGATTTGATTAAGATTTTAGTTCAGTTTAAAAAAAGACATTTTGTATCCGTTGGTGTATAAGCTTGTGAAACTTGCATTGGTTTTACTAGTTGCAACTGTGATCGTTGAAATGATTTTTTCTGCAATGAATCTTGTATAAAGTTGGTTACACAATCGAATGGGAAATCAATGGATGAATAATTGTTTGGTCACCTATATTGAGAAAGATGTATTTGATACAATTGATGATAAGATAATTATTCAACGTTTTCAGAATATGAAAACGCGTCGAGAACAATTGTAGAAAAATTGTTTTATTTTTACAAAAATTATATTTTTTGAAGATATTTATTTTTATTTTGTAACTGTTTGTTGAAGCTCATCATAATGAAAAAAAAAAAAGTATGAATATGATTGGTTTTAAATTTTTTTTTTATTTTTTACCCCCGAGTGAAATTCGTGGATCCACCACTGATTGCGTGCCTGGGAAGCCCCACTTCTCTTCAAATCTTGATGATTTGGAAATGCCCAAAGCTCAAATCCTTGCCAAGCCCGCCACCCTCACTTCTGGAATTACATATTCACTATTGTCTATTGCTAAAAAAACAGTGGAGAAGAGGTAAAGGGAAGTATTGCTCAAAGATAGCTCACATCCCTAAAGTTGAAATGGATTTCAAATTCATCTTCAACTCAAAGGAGGAAGAAAGAAGCGATTCAGAGTAGGAAGAACTGAGCTTAATTAATTGAATTCAAAGCATGCAGTCAGATAATCAAGGTTTGTGATTTACTTATAGCTCCAGTATTACTAATTTTTTTTATATTAACATATGATTGTTTTATCCTCTGCCTTAATTTCAAGTATTAATAAGTTGCTCCTATTTTAATTTGCCAGATAATCGTCAACGAGACAATCACAGTGGTACTTTGTACAGTGGCAAAACTTGGAACTATTTTGGCTCTCAAATTGAAGAATATCAATCAGAGAACTGTCTCATTCCAATCTAGGTATGCTAATTTCTAACATCTAAAGTGTTTTAAAGATTATTATCATAACATAGTTTTGTTATTCTACAATTTTGATGGCAATATGAAAATTTTGTGATAAGGCAACCCTCATCAATACAATTCAAATGCCAATATTTTCAATAATTGATGCATATATCTGCTAAAGTTCCTTTATATTATATGGTTGCTAGATATGAATTTCATTTCAGATGATCACTTTGTTTTGATTGAGGGCGAATGAGAGTAGACTACGATTGGGAAGACTTAAATTTTCCGTCTCCAATTTCATGTAAGCATATTTGACACTTTTTATATCTAAACTTTTAACAAATGATGATTTGAAATAATTTCTGTTTCGCACGTCTAACCACACATTCTGTACCTTATCCTTGCTTTACGTACGCAGTCTATCAAATGTCATGCTAAAACAAGGATTGGCTGTCCTGATCGCGGCTTTTGTTAACTAAATGAGGTGAACTTAAATGCTTATATGTATATTTATTCATTATTGTTGATTCTTTTTGTTTTGAGAAGGCAGATTTTATTTTTGTTTTGAAATTTGTGCGGCTTATCTCAGCTATGGAATCACTCTATTTTCTCTTCCGCAAATAATGAAAAGCATGACCACTAAACCTTGGTTTTAATGATTTTAGGATCACAACGTGGAGATTTGAAGATGAAGTAGCCCTTATAAGCCCAAATTTGGCTTAATTCTTAAGGCACTCCTCTGTACTAAAAGTAACTCTCTTCGGTAAGATGAAGGTGCTGTTTTTAAAAAGAGGCATGGCGAGCACCATGACCCAAGTCCATGTAAAAAAGGTAATAGTTATGATTTTCTTTTATTTTAAAACTCTCTATGCTTGAGAAAAGACCTTGCTTATATTTGGTTAATGTATAGCAAGAGAATGAAGTGCTAAAACAATTTTGTTGGAATAAATTGGTTTAGAATCTGGCTAAAGCGAAAACGGTAAAATGATATATGGCCATATTTAACTCTTTTACCAAATATTTCCTTCATTGCTTGCTTCATTACCTTCATAAGTTACGTTAATTTTGGTTGTCCTATTCCTTTTTATAGGAAGATATGGTGAGAGCAAAATCAAGCAATGGACCTTTACATATCCTATAGAAGAACTGGCTGAAATATTTGATGTTCATTAGTTGAAAACACGTTAGATATTCTTTCTCTTGTTAAGTAGACTTATGCTTACCTTTTCTCAACAAGACTGTCTTTTTTGTCTGTGAGAGCACGTCTACTTAATCGTATTTATTAATGTTCAAGGTGAATCCTAGGATTTGAGTGATGAAATCAACACAGCTTTAATAGAGTGATGCATCACCTTGGGTGAAAGAGTTGAAGTATATGTGGCTTGCACTGGCTATTACCAAAAAAAGAGTTGAGCTGCTAATCAGTTCCTATGTTGGTAAGACGTTTCCAGATTGGATGAGAAATCTTGTAGATTTTCAGATCTCTGTATTGATAACATAGTCATATCATTTCTGCAGGATATTAAAAAGTGCAAAAATCTCCAATATTACATCTCTTGAACTTCTGGAGGTCAGAAGATGTTCTCTGTTTGAATCTGTTGCCAGAGAAGGTTTGCAAGATATGATCATCTCAACTCCTTACAGAATGTCTTATCGATGCCTGTCCCCTAAGTAATTTCTTACTAGAAATCTTCTCGAGTTGCATTTTTTGTTGCTGGTTTGCCTGGTTGCGGTACCAATAATGATGTTAATTTGACCCTTGTTAATTAATAGCTTGGTGCAAGAAAGAAAAAGTGAAGACCAGTCCAAAATACACCATGTCCATTTAAGGGAGGATAGATAGCAAGAAGTCTCTTGGAGAAACTGGTTAAGGTAAAAATACATGATTTACCCACACACTTCTAGTCTTCACTTAAGAAATTTGTTATTTGGCAGTGCAGTAGTTGATATACTTGCATTGAAAGGTAGCTATTGTATTAACTGTTTTGCATATTTTTTCAGCTGTCAATATCATGAATCTTTCTTTGTTTTGCAAGTGATTTAGCCAAGATGACTCGAGATTTGAAGAAAATATGAAGAGGGTTACTAACCTCTAGATCGTTGCTTCACAGACTTAGGGGCTCCATTCAGTCTCTATGGCACCATGAACTTATTGTGATGATAAGAGGAATCTGAAGCTTGAAAAATTGCAGTGACAGGGCAGCAATGTAGCCACCTGAGTTGAGATAGTTTCTTCTTCCAATGAAAATAAATTTGTTAGGAGACAGAGACTATAGAAGAAAGTGATATCTTTTGGTATTTGTGTGCAAAAAGCGGGAGTGTTAAATGAAATATGAGAGACAAGTGTATGAGGGTTTTGGATTTGGGTTTAGGCTTTAACATGAGTATATTAGACTTGTACTTTTATTCCCTATTTTAGTCATTTGACTTATATCTCATGGATGTAGGCATGATTTGTTGAACCACATAAATTTGGTGTTCTTATGTGTGTGTGATTGTCTATTTTATTTTTCATATCTTATAGACCCAATTAAATTCTAAAGTGTGTGATTGTCTTGAATCTAATAGTTGTTCTCATTTGAAATTGAATATTATAAGATTGGCATCATCTGAGTGCAACAAGGAACAAAGTAATCATTAAGAACAAAAATACTTGTTGAAAATGTCCACATTTTGTCTCAAAATTTCTCTGTAATTTTGCTTTATCTGTTGAAGTTTTACACCATCCAACAAAATTTTACGTTTCTTTAGGAACTTTTTCAGAAATTACAACAAATAAAACATGTTGTTAAATTATATATATTGTCAGTTTTTATAGAGTTTACACGATAAAATCTTAAAAACGGAGTGTCTCCTCTGCTTTGTAACATATAGTGTCTCTTCTTCACAATGCAGAAGACAAGAAACTGACAGATGAAAGCATTAAAGAGTGGCTTGACAATCTTCAACACTGGGCTTATGATGTGGAGGACTTATTGGATGAGTTTGCCTACCAAGCTTCGTGATGCAAACTGAAGGCAGAACACCAGGCTAGCTCTAGCAAGGGAATAAGCTGCCTCCCTGCTTGTTTCCATAGTCCCTCGTTCAATGTCCAAATGGGGTCCAAGATCGAAGACATCACTAGCCGTTTGGAACAAACTGCAGCTAGAAAGACAGCTGAACATGAAATGCAAGTGGGTTCTGGGGGACATCAAGTAACGTCGCTGCACCGCAAAGATCATAGAAAACTTCAGCATCCTACCTGAACAGTTGTATGGCAGAGTTGAAGATGAAGCCAAAACTACTTGACATGGTGAAAAGTGCTCAACCAAGTGATAGCCATCGTCGGCATGGGAGGGATCAGCACGTAACGATTGCTTGGAAAATATACAACACATACGGTGCTAGAAGATTTGAAGTTTGAGAAAAAAGCGGGTCTGTGTTCAAACTTGATGTTCTGACAATTGCGAGGCACTTCTTGAGTCATAGATTCTCATCCTCTATCCCAATAATTAAATGAAGTGCAACTTAAATGTGGGAGACAGTAAATCAGAAAAGATGTAATGGTCTTAGATGATGTCTCGAATGACGAATATGCCAAATGGGAAATCCTCAAGTCTCCCTTCATGGGTATAGAAGCACCATGTCATCACAACACGCCTTGAAAATGTTGCATCTGCAATAAGATCCTCTGTTACTTATCTTTAAGCACATATCTGGTGATCACTGTTGGCAATTGTTTCAAGAGCATGCATTCGGTGATGGTTCAATTGCTGACGCTCATGAATTGATTGTAAGGGAGTTGTTGAAAGGTGCAGAGGCCTACCTCTAGCAGCAAGACTTCGGTGGTCTTCTACACTCTAAGCTATGTGATACCTAGGAAAAAAAAAAATAAACAGCAATATATGGAGTACATCTAATGAAAGTGATCACATTCTCACACATAAGGCTAAGTTATCATTATCTTCTTTCGAATCTAAAAAGAGTGTTCGCCTATTGCGCAATTTTTCCTAAAGATTACGAGTTCAAGGAGAATGAACTTGTACTTTTGTGGATGGTAGAAGGTATAGTTCAACCATCATATTTATTTTTCTTTGTTTTGCAGGTGATCTAGCTGCAGGGTGGAAAATTAAGTTCACCAACACACATCATATTTTATTTTTCATACAAAGGATGCCATATGAACCTCATCGCGAACAGTTCTTATACTTTTAGTTCTGTTGGATTGTTGATGATAACAGATTGGATCATTTCTTGGCTATTTTCAACACCATTCAAACAGGTTGGCAGCTCCATAGTAAAAGAAAGCCATCATTTTTTACAATTCATCTGCAGATCAAACTGCTAAACAATCAACAAAATAGAAGTTTAGATCATAATTAGCATTATGTCGACCCCTAAAAAACTAGAGACTTCTTTAATAAGGAAATTAACTTCTTTCTCGGTAACAGATCTTTCCAGCTTTAGTGAATATAACCTTCGGGAAGATGGACACTTGTAGAGCAGAGACCAACTCATGCTCGACGTTAGCATCCACTACAACACACTGTTTGATGTAAAAATGTTACATTAGCTCAATTCTTTCTTCAGAATCATGAAATTATGTAACTAACGCATTATGAAGCATAAATAAAGAGATTCACTGAAAATAGCTTCGTCATTATAACAAGTCAAGGAAGGTAAGTGAAATATTTTAACTTTGATGACAAGTCTTTTTCTTAGGCAATAAAGATTGACTTACAATCCAATTTTACAAACTTTCTTTTACAACCCTGAAGTAGTATCTCACAATTGATCAATTCGTAATTAGATAGACAGAACCCATTTGTAAGCTGGCCAATTACGAGTTACCACGCTAGGGTTTTAAGATTGAGTTGTAAATGTAGTATTGTCCCTTTTCTCAAATAGTGTTTGATTAAACTTCTATTAAATACCAAATGCTTGATCAAGGGTAGAATTAATACTTTTAATCTATTTCCTGCTCCAATACTATTTCTCCGAATGTGCTTGGTCAATTTAGGCCTGACTTGAGTCAGTGTACAGATTAATTAATTTAAATATATCATTTAGGGTCGCTTTCTCAGACATAATTTTAATTGAACTCTTGGCTTGGCTAGAGGCCAGTAATCAATTAGGGTATTTTTCTGATTTTCTTAGATCAATTAGGATATGTTTAAATATGTGCAAACCCAAATCACTTAGGTATTTTCTAAATTAATAACAATAAATAAAAGAATTTTGACAAAATTAATGAAAATAACAAACTTTATTTATGATTTGCTCAATCTCTTTTAAATTAAGGGGAGGAAACTAGTTACTTGATAATTGAATTAAGGAACTCCTGAGATACAAGATTCCTTAATTAATAACAATTACTTAACATCAGCCCATATATCCTGACCAAATAATCTGATTTTTCTCTTCACTTCAATCTTCATCCTTCCTCCCATGGCTTCATCTTCCATAACAAAAATGACCTTATCCTCAACTTTAACATTCTTATGCTGAACAAACTCAATCCAATCCACACAAAGTACATCTCCTACAATGCCATTCTGTTGAACTGAGCAGCGAAACATCCACAGCCCACCTGCGTCATCGTGAACATGCATATCCATTACACGGCCTTTCTCAAAATCTATTAAACCCATGAAATTGGTTGGAATGACTAAGCTTCTTGTCACATCCATTTCAGTAAGAAACTTTGAAAAGATCGTTGCCATTGCTAGCACTTAATTTGGTTCTTTTTCTACCTTCAACAAGAATTTATATGCATGCGCTTTCTATGAGTTCATTATATATTTTTTTCTACAAATTTGAGAAATTTCTCTGGTCATTCCATGAAATTTAGAGAAGATTTCACTATTCTGCATCACCGTGTTCATAATAAAAGTGATGTAGTTGACTTTCAGTCGCTTTTCTTGAATTTAATTGTTTTCTTGAAATGCCAGACATTGTCAAAAAGTGAGGCTTACATATCTGACAATTTTAGAGATCAATGGAGAAAAAACAGAAAATTGAGAGAGAACAAACTTTCTGATTTGTAACTGTTTTCGTTAAAAAAGAAATTTACAGAACGCAGTTGTTTATATACTGCTCAATGTAACTATTTAACTGTCTTTTGAAAACAAACTTCTTCTTTAGACTTATTGTTTCTCAATCTGATCTGCTCTTAACTTGTAAAGGAGCTGAATCTTCTTCTTCTTCTTTATTCCGATTAACAATTTGAGAGATTAAGTATTAGTCAATCTATAGCTCAAACAATAACTTCTTTCTCTGAATCAGATCATTCCAGCTTTTAGTTGTGGAACAGAGACTAACACATGACGACGTTAGCATCCACTGCAACACACTGTTGGATGTAATAATGTACAGTGGAGATAATGTGCATAGCCATCTCTATTTCGTCCCAGCTTTTTTGTTTCCTTAGTCTCTAGAATCAAATCAATCTCCGAATGAGAACATAACAGAAACCTGAGCACGGTAGAACTGTAACAATTAAAATTACCTCAAGATCTAGAATATCACTAACTTGTATTTGGTCCTCTGTTGACTGCATATGTTGAAAATAATTTCCCAATACCAGTCAACCTCAACCCCTGAATTACGCTCTTTGATGACTTTTCTCCGATGGTTCAAAACCCTCGACAAATGGAAATCTGTGTTTGCTCACCAACTTACTCGATACAAAGGTCCTATGTCTACCAAAATGGCATGGTCTATAATATTTTTTCACCGACATCACTCTATCAGATCTGATGGCCTATATTTTTCTCAGCATCAAGTCACCTTTCATCGGTCTTATCCATATGACCTTGTCCATAATATGTTTGATTATCCTGTTGATACTAGATCAATTCAAAAAATCCTTTTTGAAAAAAATCAGATCATTCCAGATGCAATATGGCCATCCTTTCACGATGATGCTCCGTGGGAACTCTTTCCTCCAGACTACACTGAGAAATTGCTCCACGCCAAACAGACATGCATACGTTCCATCAATGCTCAATCCGATGACAATTCATCTTATCCAGAATGGTGGTACCCGGACTCATAGCCAGATACTGTGCAAGAAGAAGAGCTTTAGCAGTCTCGTGATTACTATCTCCATAAATCCAGGCGACAACAATACGTGCATGCACCAAGTACATCTTCCACGCCAATATCTCAGATTCCAGATATTTCTTCGGATACTTATCCAGATACATCTCCCCGACAAATCTCTACTGACTGGATTCAATCAATGGGTTGTCTCGACTTCCAGGATAAAGACTCGTGGCACGTTACCAACTTGTCAGACGATTAAATATCTGCGTGTCTTAAAATAAATGGTGGTGTCCTTTATGTAAAACAGGAATGGACTAAATGGTAATTTGCCTTTTCATTGTAATATCTCCCGCAGCCATTGTAAAAAGTCAAGTATTGTAAGCTTTTGTTTTGTCAACAATTGTAGGCTATTTAATTAAAAAAAAAAAAAATTAGCCTTGTAATTAATGCCTTATTTATGAGTGCTTATCTCCCTTGTATTTATAAATAAAGGTTTTTCCCTTCTCGGGAGGAGGAGGAACTTGGTTGTAAACTTTGAAAACACTTTTGTTTATTTATCTCACTCTTCATTTCCATATTTTCTCTACACTTCCACATTTTCTCTACACATCTTTACAATACTTCTTCCATGTTTATTTCATATTTCTAAGTTTTCTTCAACCTCAAGGGTGATGTAATACTCTGAAAATGTTATAGATAGCAAAAGATCTCATATATATTTTAATTTATGTTCTTTAACATGTTTAATATTTATGTTTTCCTTTATATTCTTGTTCTTCATTTTTGTACATGTTCTTCATTTATATTTATGCTCTCCATTTATGTTATTGTTTAATTTTCACTAACCCTTTTAGATGATGTTAGAAGCTGCGTGGGTGTACGTGTGTGTGGGATAAAAGGAGGGCCTTGACCATTATTTAGACCGATCGTTGTGTTGATTAGTTCCGCTTAGGTCGGCTATCATAGTTTTCCACATGCATAAACTCCATGATTTTCTGACAGAATCTCTAGGGTCTAGTAATCCTTGTGGTCATTCATCATAAATATTCATGTATTGTTTAAAACTCCACGACAAACTAGAGTTTTGAGTGGAATACGCGTTTCTTTACCAAATTAATTAGATCTACTCTTATGATGAAGACAGATAGAAGCTGGTCTTAGCAAAAATTGTAGTTCCAGCTTTCGGTTTAGTGAACTAACAGTACAAGGATACAGTTACGTTATGGTTCAAAAGGAATACTGCAGGAAGTAATGGAAAGCACAAAACGTTGTGGTCCGTTAGTATCAAAGACAGAAACTGTCCAGTTCAATATACAAATCAAGTGTGTTAAAAGGATCTAAGCTCAAGGAAGAAGAAGAAGACCTGATCCTACGGTTCTGCAGTTGTCAATGTGTGTTTGTTTTGTAATAAGTAAACGGGGTCAATCACACGGATTGATTTACATCTAGAGACGAATGTTTAAAATGCTATATGTACATGTTAATTAGAAATATCAATATATTTATTACATAACCTAACTCAGTACGTACAGTTTAAATGATTGATTATTTCAAAATGCATTAATATATATATGTTAGAATGAATCTCAACCAGTAAAAGCATGTGATGTATGATGTGATGATCTCTTTAGTAGTTAATCTTAAGGACTATGTTCAAATGATTGATTATTTCAAAATGCATTAATATATATATATATATGTTAGAATGAATCTTAACCAGTAAAAGCATGTGATGTATGATGTGATGATCTCTTTAGTAGTTAATCTTAAGGACTAGGTTTATTTTACCAGGAAACTAGCTAATTATAAGGATATTTATCGGCAAATAAAACTACACAGGTAAATGTCAGATTTCCAAAAAATAAATAAATAAATAAATAACAGTATGATTCTTTTAATGACAAGATTAATAATTTATCTGATTCTCATTATCATCCTCCTTGTGACGGTTGACTACAGAGAAGCAAACAGAGGCACTGCACAATGGAGTTAAACCAAAAGTCAAGATAAACTTCTTTCTCTGAATCAGATCATTCCAGCTTTAGTTGTGGAACAGAGACTAACACATGATCGACGTTAGCATCCACTGCAACACACTGTTGGATGTAATAATGTTACAGTGGAGATAATGTGCATAGCCATCTCTATTTCGTCCCAAGCTTTTTTGTTTTCCTTCAGTCTCTAGAGAATCAAATCAATCTCCGAATGAGAACATAACAGAAACCATGAGCACGGTAGAACTGTAACAATTAAAATTACCTCAAGATCTAGAATATCACTAACTTGTATTTGGTCCTCTGTTGAAATGCCAGACATCGTCAGAAAGTGTGGCTTACATATGTGACAATTTTAGAGATCAATGGAGAAAAAACAGAAAATTGAGAGAGAACAAACTTTCTGATTTGTAACTGTTTTCGTTAAAAAGAAATTTACAGAATGCAGTTGTTTATATACTACTCAATGTAACTATTTAACTGTCTTTTGAAAACAAACTTCTTCTTCAGACTTATTGTTTCTCAATCTGATCTGCTCTTAACTTGTAAAGGAGCTGAATCTTCTTCTTCTTCTTTATTCTAATTAACAATTTGAGAGATTAAGTATTAGTCAATCTATAGCTCAAACAATGCATCTTTTGTCTGTTGCTTCCAACCAGAAAGAAAGAAGCATTAGCGATTACATGCGATGGATGAAAGAAATCGTAGATACTTTATCTTCTTCAAGAAATATCATATCAGATAAAGAACTTTTGCTTTATATTTTGTAGTTCTTGTTAATCTCACAAATAGAAATGACTTTTATCCAATTTCCTAATTTCAACTTATTTTCTCTTCTTCAGATTAAAATTCATTTTGTTTTATTTTTCATAGTTTTAGTATTATATTTTCATCAAACAAATAAATACTTAAAATAAAAGAAAAAATTTTAAAGATTGTGAAAATTTAGAATTAGGTTATGAAAATTTAGGGTTAGGGTTTATGTAAGTTTCAATATTAAAAATTAAAGCAAAAAATAAAGTATGAGTGTATTTAGAAATTATAATATTATTTCTAGTAATTTAAATTAAGGTTAAATTTGTCCAAACAAAAGATTAATTTAAAAATAGGAGGTGAAGACCAATTAGGTGTGAGCTAAAACTCTTTTTCCAACTTATAGATGTGCCCAAAAATTAGCCAATGCTACGATTGTGAAACAAGCCCATAGACTACATCCAGAAGTGGATTACAAAGGAAAGGAAGTGGATTACTACGATTGTGCCAGCACCAGCTATGGAAATGACCTTCAACGTTTGTTTGTAGGCCCAAATTTAAAAGGAAAGGAAAATTGCAAGCAATTTTATAATATAATAGTGATTCTATTTCAAAATCAATCACACCATTTTGACATACAGAAGAAAATGAAAGATCTGGTGCCCCTAATCCACTAAAGATTTTAAGACCTTTTAATTATCATATTATAACTAAATTTCAAAATCAATCACACCATTTTGAAACAAAATTACTTATTTTGTTATGGTATCCATAAAGTTAGGATTTTGACACTTTTTTTTTTTTTTTTAGATTAATGTAACATTCTCATATTACGTATAATTTGATAGCCGATCATTATCTTACCCCACAAATATCTCCTAATTGATCCAGAAATTCTTTGGTGAATGCCTAAATTAGAGAGTTTATGAATACAACATTATATGTAAAATTAATTTAGGTGATTGGTCAAATTTTCCTTACAGATCATAAGTAACAGTGTCAAATTTTATAAATTGTCATCCTCAAATTATCTTTTAGTTGGCACTATCTAAGCAAGTCCATCCAAATTTCTAGTTTTAATCACTTCGACACTAATTGATCGTACTTATTGGTTGATCGCATTGAACAAATATCTCCTAATTGATCAAATAATATTTGGTGCATGCATCAATCGGGAAGCGATTACATGTCATGTGCATTGATATAACTCGTGAATTGCTAGTGGCTAATACATATTAATGTAGAGAACTAGGGGGTAACTCGTTCCCACTAAGAACGATGCGTTCAGCGGAACTAAACCAACCGATCAAACGAAGATAAACACCCACACAGGACGGCATAAACCCACTGAGGACTCATTGATAAACACCCACTAATGACAGTGAATCCACATAGGATTCTAAAGAGTGGCCACAAAGGTTAGTTCGAAAATTTATGTATATTTCTTCTCAAAGGCCCCTATTAAATTGTAAATAATGCCCTTAAATAGGTGCATAAAAACTCTAACAGAATTTTTACACTTGTCCTAATCTTAACAACCCTAATGACAAATGTACCTATTTTATTTCTCCTACGTACATGTGTCATATTCTAGAATATTAAAACATAGTCCTTTAAGCTTGCTCTGCGATCTTAACCAACTCGTGGGTCATGTCAATAATTAAGTTATCGCGATGCTCCTGCATCACATATGTAACATGGTTCATTGATATTTCCTTGCAACTCATAACTCATAAGTAACGGTCTTATGTGTTTTGTATTGTTATTTGTCAAATTCGCTTTCAACAATTAAATTCTATTAATTTGAAATTAGGTGTGAAAGAAATTATGAAGGTTAACCGGAAATTCCAACAACATGCATGCAACTTCTGGGAAGCTAGGAGTTCTGTATGTATCGGACCAGTCTTAAATCTACTTTAATAAAATCAATCAATGCAAAGACTTGACATACAGTAGAAAATGAAAGCTCTTGGCCGCCCTAATTTGACTTCAATTAAAACCAATGAAATTTATCAAAATTTGGTGTTTGGTTGTTCTCCATCAAAATTTAATAGAATTCTGATAGCATTAATCGTAGACTAGACGGGTGGAGTCTCTGTTAGCAAGTTATGAAATTAATTATTCTCAAATTAAGATGAAATTAATTATCCAAAAAGAATAAAAATATGTGCGAAATCATTTTTTGAAATTACAGTAGTACAATAGACTTCAATAAAAATTAATTATTCTCAAATTAAGATGCAACCCTGAATTCACGTTACAATTACTTGGGTAGCTGCTGAGACTTATTTATTGGTGGAAAGACTTATTTATTGGTGGAAAGACTTGGGTGGATGCTGAGCCTGAGATTTCCACAACAGGATAGACTTTTAGTATCATATCAGTCTATATATACCTCTTTTAATACATCACTTAACTTCATAGACAGAGATAGAGAAACCAAAGCAATGGCCGTCATGTCTGCTCAACTTATATTTTGCCTTACCTTGGCCTTCCTCGTCTCAGGTATATATATTTCATTCTCTTTATTTTCATTAATTTATATAAGGGGAAGGCTCGGGAATACAATATTTTTTACACAAATTATGATAAAAATTTTATGGCGTTAGATTTACGTACTTTGAATGCTTGAGATTCAAGACAACTTACATGTTTAATGTATTTTTAAAATGACATAATTCAGATTCAATCACAATTTTTTGATAATTTTTTTAAAAATTTCGTGCTTCCAAATCTTCCCCGTTATATAAATAGCAAGTAATTTTATGTGTTGACACACATTTTAATTGGTTTACATGCAGGAGCCCACTTAGCAACAGTTTCCATCAAAAACAATTGTCCATACACCATTTGGCCCGCAACTCTAGCAAACTCTAACCGTCCTCAATTATCAGAAACCGGGTTTGAGTTAGCCTCCGGAGGAACAAAGACCCTCGACATTCCAGCTCAATGGGCAGGCCGTTTCTGGGCTCGAACCGGATGTTCTGGCAGCTTCACTTGTGCCACTGCAGACTGCGGCTCAGGCCAAGTCCAATGCAATGGTAAAAGTGGAGCCACACCTGCTTCCCTAGTCGAGATAACGTTCCAAGCAGACGATGGACAAGATTACTACAATCTTAGTCTCGTTGATGGCTTTAACCTTCCTGTTTCAGTTGCCCCACAAGGTGGGTCTGGTACTAGATGTACACAAGCCACTTGCTCAAACAATGTGAACGCAGCTTGCCCAGAAAATCTGCGACTCACAGGATCCGATGGGAATGTGATTGGTTGCAAGAATACATTGGATAATGCTACGTTTTTCAAGAGTCAGTGCCCTGAAGCTTATAGTTATCCTCAAGATGATCAGGTTGTGCGTGCATGCACTGCTGGGGCTAACTACGCTATTACTTTTTGCCCATGAGGATGAGGGAGACTCTCAGACTCTTTGATATATACTATATATAAATAAAAATCAGTCCAAATCATGAAGCTTATGGACGTGCCAGTTATTTTCTGTCAAGAATTTGATAAATGTAATAACAAATGAACAAATATAGATTTCATTGCTAAACTATATTTTGTTTTATTTGATTGAAAAAATCATATTGATAGTTTCTTTTCTTGTTATTTCTTTAATAAACGTAGTGCCTTTACACATCTATTGTTCGTTAAGTCATTAATCTCTTTTGAACGCTGCTTGCCCGACAAATCTACGACTCATAGGATCCAATGGCAATGTGATTGGTTGCAAGAATGCATTGGAATATGCTACGTTTTTCAAGAGCCAATGTCCTGAAGCTTATAGTTATCCTCAAGATGATCAGGTTGTGCGTGCATGTACTGTTGAGGCTAACTACGTTGTTACTTTATGGCCGGTCGTGCGAAATGAAACTAGATTCCGACGGTGGTGGCTAAAATCTGGCAATTATGGGTAGGTGAGGGTGTTTTTATCAATTTATAAAACTTTTTTATTGGAGGTGTTTAGTTAAATTAACAAACCTATAGGAGCTTAAAAAATTGAATATTATTAGATAAGATTTTGAGAATAGAGAAATAAATATGCATTTTTTTTAGGATATGAATAGAATATTTTCAAAATAAGAAAGCAAACGTAGTAAAAAATGTTAGGTAATACTTATAAATACAACAACTAATATAAATTAAATAAATTAGAGAAGATGTTATATTGGTTGTCACATATGTTTATAGAAATAGTTTGTAGACAAGTCAAAGACAAAGGAAGCATTGCATGTGATGTCAGTAGAGTCCCACTAAGAGAAAATACTTTTAATAATAATAATAATAATAATGTTGTTTTAACAAAACCAAAATAAGAGTAAAGGATTTGAATGGTAGATTAATCACAAAATTAAAATGGAAGTAAAATTTTAATTTAGATTAGGTTATGGAAATTTAGAGTTAAGAGTTCATGTTAGATTCAATGCTAAAATTCAAAAACACATATATAAAGTAAAATATGAGCAAATTTAAAAATTTGATTATCATTTTCAATAATTTAGATATAAATTAAATTTGTTAGGACAAAAAATAAATTTAAAATTAAAGGGTGAAAATCAATTAGGTGGGGGCTAAATATAATAGATTTATATCTAATGTGAACTAAAATGGCCAGCAAGAGCATTAATCTTTGAGCTATGAAATGCCTCGTGTCACAAACCCAATAGAAACGGTTTCACTAAAAGGTGACCATATCGAGATTACATTATATCACGCTTTACGCGTTTTTGTCTTGGTTGATGACTTGGAACTATTTAGATTGTTTTTTAAAACTTAATTTATTCCTTTTGTTTTACTATTTTCAATGCCTGTCATTCAAGTCTACACGAAGGATGAATATGCTTACGGCATGTGATTGTAGTCGAAGTGTTATGGAATGTTTGTGTGAGTGAGAATAAGTCCTCTAAATTAGAAATTGGTTTATTGAAGAATTTCTTGAAATATAATATATATTTTTTTTACAATCTAGTTATATAATTAAATAAAAATTATACAAAATTCATGCAAAATAAATATTATATATATATTTTTATTAATTATATAACTCAATTGTAAATATAACATTATTATTTTTTAAAAAGTTATCGAGCATAGGTTCAAGGCATGAAGGATGAATATGCTTACGGCATGTGATTGCAATCGAAATGTTGTGGAATGTTTGTGTGAGTGAGAATAAGTCCTCTAAATTAGAAATGATTTATCGATGAATTTCTTGTAATATAATATATGTTTTGTTTACAATCAAGTCATACAACTAAATAAAAATTATACAAAATTCATGCAAAATAAATATTATATATATTTTTTTATTAATTATATAACTCAGTTGTAAGCATAATATTATTATTTCTTAAAAAGTTATCAAGCATAGGTTCAAGGCACTTCCATGGTTTTTAAAACAACATTTTAATTTTTTTTTTCTTTTTAAATTAATACTCTTTGAAGTTTAAGTGTAGAACCAGGATTTGCACTCAGCAGAGTTTTGCATTTGTGGGATTTAAAGGCCGGGTCTCTACTCTCTATGCTTATCCGTTTGGAATTAAATTATATTTTGGTCCCTGCCTTTCTTGCTTCTTAAATTTATTAATTAATTAAATCCTGTATGTCAACGAATAGAGGCTAGTCTTTATCTAACTCTTTAATTAATTAATTGAGGTTTTGTCATCTTTACCTTAATCGTATATCAGTTCTAAAGTAAAGGATTTCTTAAATATATATGTTTCTTAAATATATGCTATAAGAAAGTAGCTTCCACATGAGATGATTGAAAAAAAAAAAAAAATTGTTATCTATAAAATCTTTTACTAGGTCTTGGAATCCTAGAAGAGGGAGACACTTGGTAAAGAGAAATTGAAGCCTTTCTTCCTATATATTTGTGATTTTATAATCTTTTCAAAGAATTATGTATATAGAAAAAAAAAAAAAAAAAATCCCCTTTTTAATTATAGTACTAAACAATCAGTCTAAAATTAATCAATTACCATCGTTTTGCATAATATTCCCGAATATAAAGTTTTAAAAGGTAACATATATGGCTGATGCATTGCTGGGTGAGCACAGTCTATAGATACTAGCTATATATATGTAGAAGGTAGGGAGATAGATACATAGTGTAGTGTAATGCATGGTATGGCATGCTACCATGAAATATTTATGATGGAACATGTTTAAAAGTAAAGCATGATAGATGGGTCTCAATCAAAGTAGTGGTATCCGTTTCACTATGATTATGATGATGATAATTCCAACAACACAACTGTCATACCCCATAGTCTAGGACTAAGTAGCTGCCTACATGTTTCAAATCACGCTATTTATACACACACTCAATATAATTTTTTATAATATGAAATATTGGGCCCATATGTAAGGGGAGATGGACACATACAAATCAACCAGGGAGCTATAGCTAAAAAAGGACTTCAATGGAGGCGAAGATACCCAAATAATTCCTTTTCCTTTTGGTTTAATATTTAATATATATATATTTATATGCCCACTGCATGCACCAGTAACTAGCTCCGGCAGTAGCGGCATATATATTCATTTTCATGTATTTACTAATTTATAAATGCTACGTTACCATTCTCATCATCTTCATCTTATGCTTCCTCTTCTTCTTAATAATATATATGAGTACTGCCCCACATCACTAGTCTGATGCTCGGCCCCACTCTGGTTCTGACAAACCGTTGAGCCTCTCTGGCTGTTAAGTCGCTTTACCTCTTCATTAGATGACCCATAGCCCACCTTTAGCCCCCCTGTCTCATTTATTCATGTTTTTGTGGTACCAATTAAAATTTATTATCGCAATCTTTTCTTTCTCACTAAAAATATATTATCTCACCACATCTGTCAATACTCAGTCCGAAACCAAAAATTCCTTCGCCCTGAACTAACAACCACTAAACATCCCTTTACAATTTCTGCTTTCTAGTTTCAATAATAAGTCTTGCTGAGATTGTTTGAAGATACTTAATAATAATCTAATATTCTACGCTAGCTTAAAGGTGGAGAATCACAATTATGTATTATATTATTTATGGCATGCAATAAAGCCAAGTAATAGTGAACATAAAATATGCCTTTTGGCTGGGNCCACCGCTAAAAAGCTTGCAGGTCACGTAAAAGCATGGAAAAGGGCAAAAGCCCATACCGTACGCACTGTAGCGCGTCAAAGAAAGGGATGGTGCACAACGAACCTAGAGGCTTTGAGGGACCAACAAATACCGATCGTGCCCTAGGTAGAATACTTATGGCATTGAGACTCGATGACATGTCACAGTCCGAGCCGTCCCTGTCACGGCCCCGTTTGACCAGAGACACGGCCGGAGGGCAGGCTCTGAATGACACTGTCACCTCCACTACCCGTGACTTCTACTTGGTATTGTCACCCCCCCCCCCCCCCCCCCCCCCCCCCCCCCCCCCCCCTTTAAGGGATTTCTTCGCCTCCCCCACTACTCGAACCCAAGACCAAGGGGCTATAGTCTAGCCTCAGACGGGGCCGTGACATTCAAAAGGCTTAAGGGATTTCTTCGCCTCCCCTACCACCCGAAACCAAGACCAAGGGGCTATAGTCAATTGGGAAGCATGGTGAGTACCATCATGCTAATTCACACTCGGGTCTGGGCCTAGGCCCGTCGGGCAAGCTGGCAAAAGGCTGGGTGTGACAGTCCCTTGCCACGTCGCACGAGCACTCCCACAAAAGTGCATGGAGGGGAGATTCCTATTGTCGCCAAAATGATGACTTTGATTGTCATCGTGCGATAGGTTCCCACTATCCACGAGTCGGTTAGTACTATTGTGGAGGTTAGGAAGGTTTCCTGAACCATTCGATGCCATCACATGACTCCAGCTAGCGTATGTCGAGATTAGCCAGAACAACCGGTCGAGTGAGGAGGAATCCGACCTACGATCTTTCCTTAATCGCAACCGTGAGGGTTGAACCCACGTTGCAAAAAGTGATCCCAAGGTGGCTTCGCTGCCTTAGATTGAAGAGCTACAGCGAGCTCTAGATCAGTTAAAGGCTCAACAGAATGAGTAAGGGTAGGTCGTAGAGACGTCTCCCTTTCTCCAGCAGTATTAACTACCTCTCTCCTGTCAATATTCAGAATGTTGGACATGCGAGTATTTGATGGGTATTCTGATCCGCAGGATTATCTGTACAAGTTTGATGACCTCATAGAACTCCACTAAGTCTCTAACTTGGCAAAATGCCGTTGCTTGGTAGTAACTCTTACTTCCCATGCCAACTGATGGTTCAGGTTGTTACCAGCAGGATTAGTCAGCTAGTGGCCTCAGATGAGCTCGATATATCTGAGACACTTCCAGGCGAACAGGAAGTTCTCAATGTCTCTAAGCTACCTTAGCAACATAAGGAAAGAGAGGGATGAGCCCTTCCAATCTTATATTGACAGGTTCCACATGGAACTCCATAAAGTAGCTCACACTCCTGAAGAGTCCGTTCAGACTCTCATTATTGCAAGAGTTCGCCACAGACTGATTTGTGGAAAGAGCTACAATCTAAGGACGATGTTTCCCTCACCCACTTCTACAACCTTATGGAAAAGTACCTCCGTATTGAA